ACTATAATTTCCTGCTTTCTACTTAATTTGAATTTAATTTGTTCTTCAGGTTTTTCTATTTTAAGATGAAAGATTATAGTATTGCTTTGATATACTTTTTTCCTAATAAAAGCATTCAATGCTTTATTTTTTTCTCTATGTATCACTTTAGTTGCATATTACATACTGTGATGTTGTATTTTAATTCCATGTTTTAGAATTTCTAAAAATTCCCCTTGTACTTTCTTTTAGCAGTTATATGTTACTAACAAGTGGTTATTCAATTTTAAATATTTGATGGAGTTTTTAGATATTGTTCTATTATTGATTTCTGGTTTAATTCTATCACTGTTTTAAAAGGCTTTATATGATTTCGGTCCTCTTCTGTTTATTGTAACCTGTTCTACTGACAAGCAAATGGCCTGTGTGGCTGGGAATCCTGAAATGTACACGCATTCTCCTACTGCTTGGTGGAATGTCCCCTAAGTGCCAAGTCAGGCTGGTTGATGCTGTTATTTAAGCATCTTGTGTTCTTGCTAACTTTCTATCTAATTTCTCTATCAATTATTGACAAAGGAGTATTGGAATCTCTAATAATTTTATATTTTTATTGACTTTTTCTATTGGTTTTTATTCATATTTTGAAATTTTTACTAGATGCATACAAATAAGGCCTGTTATGTCCTCTTAACAAATGTATCCTTTTATCATTATGGAATGTCCCTCTTCAATATTAATTTATTGATCAAAACTCTCACCTAACATACTGGAGGAAAATAAAATCCAATAATAATGGATTAGTTGGGATGGAGGAAGAGAATCTTAATCAGCCTTCTCAGTCACTACAGATTGAAATCTCACAATAAGGTTGAAAGCATGAAAGCAGAAGTTGCAAAGGACAGAGGGCCATTACTCTTGCTTACCTTTGTGAGAGGCCCTTCATGCCTCCCAGACTGAATGCCCTGCTTTGTGAAAGTTAGCAGTCATCCCAGAACAGATCCTCTCCTGTTTAAAAAGGTCCATGGAACCACTGTTCCAATAAACCTCTTATAAGGTTTTCCACTAGTTTGTCCTTCCGTGCCTATCTTGTCCACGTTATACATCCAGTGCCTACCATAATGCCTGGCACACAGTAGACACTTGCGTTTGTTGAAAGAATGGCATGGAATTCTCACCTAAGTTGATACTCAAGGCCTTGTACAACTGGCCTTTAGCTCTTTCATCACTATTTCCCTGGCCTTGCAAATCCCAGCAGACTGTAGCAAGAGAATGCTTTAGAAGAGTTACTGATATCAAGCGTTAATAAAGACAGGACCCCAACCAAAAACCACACACCAGGAAGAGATAGAACAGAGGCTGATATCAGGCATTTCCTTCAGGGTTACCTTATGAAAAATGGCTCAGTGCAGTGAATCCACAAGGAGCATTGTGAGGATCCTGGAATCCAGAAAAATTAAAGCATGGAATGTAGGAAATGGCAAGTAATTTTCTTTGACTTTTGTCATGAGCACCATTGCTTTTTTTGAAGGTCCAGTAGACTCTTGCAAAATATTCTTTTTACCTCCCTTAAAGTTGTAAGGGTCTGGCCCTAGAATCTGGAAGCTCTTGTCCATGCTGCGACACTGTACACACTCATACCACTGGATTCTTACTCCCTTTACTTGCTCTGTCTACAGTTATTTATTTTCTTCACTGCCCTCCCTGATCCTCTAGCTAGACAAAAATCTATTTTTTATAATTCAGATAAATTTTTACCTCCTTTTGAAATTTTTTCTGTCCCCTCCAGGCAAAAATAACTTTTCCTTTCTCTGTTTTTCAAACCTTTTAGCGATTTTATTATAATTATCATATTCTAGAAAATTTGTATGCATCTTCTCCCTAGATATAATGAAATCTTTTTATGAATAGAAAACATATCTTTATCCTTCATGTTTTTATACTCTCCGAGTTTACATCACCTAGAATAGTGTCAGTTCCATAAATCAGTATTTTCCAATGAATCAGTTGAGTGAATAAATGTTACATGGATACAGTTTGCTCCAGCAATACTAAGTCTGTGCACTAGTGCTCATTGTTGTTGGTTATAATTTGTTTCATGAGTCTCTTGGAAATTCAAAATTTATTCTTATGTAAAAAGTGAGTGAGAAGAATACAATGAATTTAATGAAAGAGATGTTTCTCTTCAAGTTGCAATATCTGAACAAGCAATCTACAGAATGGTAAACCAAAGAGGCCAATAGACATGTGAAAAATCAGCTTTAGTAGTGATCAGAAAAATAAACATCAAATTAATAATAGAGACCTAAAAAGATTTATAAGAAATAGTACTGGCAGGGATACAGAGTAGAAATCTAGCTGATATATTATTGACAGAAAGTTTAAATGCAATTTAGCCATACCTATTATAATACAATCTATACAAACTCTTCAACCCAGAAATATTGTTCCATAGAATGAAATTTCATGAGGTTACAGTATAGGATAGTCCTCACAGCATTAGTTGTAGTGAAAAAAAAATACTGGAAAGAAATTAGTGCTCACTAGTAATGAAAAAGATTAATAAAGGTCCTGTTAAGTAAGAAATGAAAGTAAGGAAAGAGCATGTGGTCTGACCTTTATTTTAGGAGAAAAACGGTAAAAATCATTGTGTAGGAAGCCTTGCTTGACTTGAATATATAGTTTTCATTTTTCTAGAGTTATAAATAATGGTACAAAATAGAGAAGGACAGAACAAAGAAAAGGACAAACTGACAAGAGGCTGCTTAGGAAAGACTAGCATTAGATTAATTGAAAAGTGGACTATTCTACTATTGTATTCATCAGGTTTCCCATTGCTGGTACAAAATACCTGATGCCCACTGCTTAAAAAGACAAGAGGAATAGTTTGCTCAATTTCAGAGGGTTCAGTGTACGGTCAGTGGGCTCTAAGACAGAAACACTGGGGCAGAAGGGTGTGGTGGCAGGTAGCCCAGCAGGGGAGAAGAGTACAGAGAGGAGCGTCCCGGAACCAGATATGGCCCGCAGAGTCACCCCGAACCTATCAGACTCTCCAGAAGTGGGCATGAGCAATCTGCTCAGCATTTCCAAGCCTGTCAAATGGACACTACTGCTTAAGTGTCATAATTCCCTCTATGATACTGTGAAAGTGCACAAAAGCAAGAACTATGAGGCAAAATATCGACCAAAGATGGCCCAGAGCTCTAGAAAACTTCAGTATCGTTGTCTTTTCCCTATCTATAAAATACATTAAAACAAAATGCAAAAACATAGCATTTTAGAAAACTGCTACTGACATAGTCATAAACCTCCCTTGGTTTATATTCCCTGCCTTTTTAATAAATTAATAAAGCAAAGAAGGAAAATGTGCACTGTACATTGCACATACCTTTTTTTGGTGTTTTTGAGACAGTGTCTTGCTGTGGAGCCCAGACTAGTTTTGACTTCCTGCCTCAGCTTCCAGACTGCTGGGATAACTGGTGTGGGATTAGCACCCTCTGCTCACCACACACTTTTTGTTGGTGAAGTATGCGCTCCAGCCACAGACGACACCACACACAGGAACGTGGCTCAGTCTTGGCTTCTGCTCTGCTACCTGAGTTCTCCACACCTCGCTGCTCACTGCCCAGACCTGAGCCTTGATTCTCTAGTCCGAAGCACCCTGAGGATGTCTCTCTAAGCTATGTAGCCATAACACCTAGCAACATCTTGCATATGCATAGGCATTCAGTAAACATCCTGAAGTGCATGGAGAGAAATGCAATCGAATGGCACCATTTGAAGAATCGAAAAGTGAAAAAGATTTCTGAAGAGCAAACTCAGAGGAAGTCATTTAGAGTCTGACAGTGAAAATAATGCAGGAAGTTTTATTTTTCTATTTAGGGCAAAAAGAGAATGTACAAGGTGTGTGTGTGTGTGTGTGTGTGTGTGTGCACATGTTTGTGCAAGCTGAAGCATGTGCAGACACACGGTGAGCGATTGCCTTGATAAGCACACAACTGTGTAAAGACTGTGTATCTACAAATAAAAACCGTGTCGAAGGAAACGACGGTGCGGGAGGCCAGTCCTCTCCATGACCTACCGAGAATCCACCCGGACCACGGCCCTGCATTTCCCCTGTAATGAGAAATGCGCGAGTCCTTTGCTGCTCCGCCCCCACCCTCCCCAGCTGCTCTCAGCTGGCAAGCACAGGCCCCAGATGCCGCGCTGTGGGAGATATTTATCTGCCGCATCTGGTTCCTTAGCAGCTTCCAGGCCTCTATGCTGGCAGCCTCAGGAATGCCTTGGGGCCTGTCGCATGGTGTGAGCTCCCAACTGGCCATCTGGGTTGGCTCCGGAAGGCAGGGAGCCCTGTGGCCCGTCGCCTGCTGACCGCTCAGGTAAGGGCCACTGTGTGCGATCCCGACAGGGCCGAGCCCACCCCAGCACCAACCAGCTCTCCGCTGCGTAGAGGAAACCCCAGCAATTCGGACCTTGGCACTTGTGTTCTGAAATTAAATTCAGAAAGCATCAGCATTCTAGATGCGGAAGGAAAAGTCCCAGCAACTAAACCATCTCCTTAATTTTTCTGATGCAGAAACAGGTTCGGGAAGGGTAGGATCTGGCCAAGGTGCTAGGCAACCAGGACAGAGAAGTGCCCGCCCTGCCAGGGCCGGGCTCCGAGGGTGGCGGGAGGCGGACCCTGGCGACACCAGGAGCCTCTCCCGCCTCCCGAAGCCCTCTTACTTGCTTTGAGGATTAAATGAGATGTGCAGTGCGCCTGACGACGGCATCTTCTTTGTTTGTCTTAATAAACGCTTTCTGGAGAGGTTACCGTGGGATGGTCAGAACCCTCGGCCTTGATAAGCGGTGATCATCATCACTTGGGAGGGGCCTGTTCAGGCGAGGTGGGAAAGCGACCCCCCCACCCCGCGTGGAGCCTCGCACCCCGGCGGGCCTGGAGCAGAAAGAACGCGGGAGCTGCAGTGAGCGCTGATGGCCAGCAGGGGGCGTCCGCGGCCCGGACAGGAGGCGGTGGCCTCGGCCGCCGCAGGGATGACGAAGGAAAACAAGAAGCCCCGGCCAGCGGAGCCTGACTGCGGCCCAGCTAGGCAGAGCTCCGGGAGGGGGAGCCTCACAGCCGTCGGAGCCAGGCCTGGTGCGAATGACAGGGGGGCCGCTTAACCCGTTGTTTGCGGGTCGAGTCTGAGCAGTCTCACCTGTTAATGGTGCGGAGACGCCCGCCTTCCGTCTGGGTCTAGAGAACCAGGTCAGCCAGAGCGACACTCAACAAGGGCGGGGCGCACCCTGGGACTGGGGTGTGTGCTGGCTGGTCTGGATCGTTGTTCATGGCCTGCTCAGAAAGCTGAGGATCAGCAAGCAGGGCCGTGCTGGTATTTTGCCACCATCTCCTGGGGAAAACGTGTGTGTGTGTGTGTGTGTGTGTGTGTGTGTGTGTGCGCGCGCGCGCGCGTGTGTGCAGTTTTACTGTAGACCCTACTGATATGCAGGGTGTGTAGCATTTCATAAAATATGGAAAAATATTTGTTATAAATTCCGTGCAGCCAATGCTCACACAATACTTCAGCTGAGTTTTGCTGAACTCATAATTGCAGCCAAATTACTATTGCCATTCGACCGTGATTTGACAAAGATTGCAAGCAAGCGCTGGATTACTGCCTGCGTCAGGATTCACCCACCTCACTGATCCCAGGTGTGGCTGTGCCGTCAATGCTGACGGATATTTTCATTTATGTTAACAAGGGGAACAGAAGTGGAACAACAAAGACGTATGTTGAAGCTTCATTTATTTGTTCATGGCAAAAACCAAATCTTCGCAAAATCCTCTAGTGGTACTTGTATACTGAAAAATATTTTCATTTTTCCATTGTTTACAATGTAATAGTGCAGACACAGTCCAGCCTTATTAGCCTATCAATTCAAGTCTAGAAGAATCAACAAAAGAAGAGATCCCTTAGAGTGTCTGCCAATTTCCATGGTGTAAATATTCCGGCCAAGGGTGATTTCCAGACAAGGTAGTGCCGCTGCACACAGGTTGGAAAGAGACGCCCTATAGGGCACCACTAGGTAGTGTTTCTACCACCCGCTCTGCTCACAGCCAGCAACTGCCATGACAAAAGCATAAATAAAATGCAGCAAAGCAGGTAGGAAGGGCTGGATAGTGTTTGCCTGTTTATGCACAAAATGCATAGAATAATGTCTATCTTGTATAATCATTTCTAAAGATGGGTCTGCTCTCCATAGTATTTAATGGCACCTAACTCATAATAATCATAATTGTAAAGGAAGATGGGAGCCAATAGTCAGGCATTTCAAAAAGCATCACATCTAAAATGTTTAAAAAAATTAAGATCATCACCACACTGCAAGCCATTGTGCTGAACTGCAGATGCTAAATCACACAACTTCATATTAATTACAAAGGACGTGCATTACTTTCCCCACATAAGAATCTCTAACAGATGACACTCTGAGGCTCAGAGAGTAAAGCAACTTGTTCAGGTTCCCCAGCTGGGGTAAACCAATCTAAATTTAAGGATTGTGCAATAAATAAGACAGTGACAATTAACAAGTATTATTCGGAAAGAAAAATGTAAAGTAACTGGTCAGGAAGAAAACCTGAACTTGAAGGTAAGATCTGGCCCTGGATCTGTGGTATGAAATTGAACGAATCATTTTGCGTCTCTAAATTTGTCACAGAAAGGAGTCTGGAATTTTGTAGTCTGTGAAGTGTAACTATTGCTGTCCAGAGAGTAGGTTCTTTTCTCCCCCAGAAAAAAATTACTGTACAAGGTAGAAAGTCAAAAGAGGATGAAGCAAAGTATTTACTGTAGAGTGAAAGCAGAAAGCAGCATTTATTGTAAAGCAGAGGCAAAAAGACCCCAGGCAAGTGTACCTGGGAGGGAGCCTGAAAAGGGTTCCCATAGGGATTCTTTTGTCTAGGAGACTTTGTACCCCAAAATGACTGCCTCTCAGCCAAGTTGAGATCAACCTATGGGGTTACAACCAGGTAACTTTCATGTAGAATTGGGTTTATGGGAGTTTAGGGTGGGTAGACGGTCTGAATATCTTGTTCCTGGGCAAGACAATTCTGTCAGTCAATGAGGCCTTTGTTTACTGAGCCTCCTGGTGCCCTGACCTTAGTCATCTACTGGTCCCTCACTGAATCTCTCTGGATCCCTCTTTAGCTTAGACCTTCACTGGCTGCCTGTCCAGTCCATGGAGCCCCCTTTGCCAGAACCCTCCCCACATGCACTCCCTCACAGGTCAGGATCACCCTGAGAGATCTGCTTACCTCCCACAGGACCCTGCAGGGCCTCAGCCTCAGTGGTTACTGTTGGGAGCCTCTTGTTAAGTAGTGAAGATGGAGCTCAACTCGTAGAAAACAGGACCTCAGCCCAACCACACCAACACAGAGGCCTCATGTTCAGTCTCCCCAAGGCCCTTGCTATCTCCCCGATTGAGTACCCATTGCATTTAAACCCAGGCAGCCAGAGGCAGAGAGGTTTGCCCAAGACAAGTTAGTCTGGCTTTGCTGAATTCTATCCCACAACTAACAAAGCGGGTACCACTGAACGACATCTGAAATCACGCACCATGCCTGTCCTTAGGCACCTACACCCTGCCTTTCTCCCAGTATTCCTCCTCCCAAATCCTAAGTATGTTTTCCATGCCTATGTTAATTTTTCTAAAGTATGTTAACTCAGTAGTCTGAGGCTAAATTGTAACTAGTATTGTTAATTTTATTCACATTACAGTATGACAGTATTTTTTTAATGTTCGGTTTGAAACGCAGAATTTTCAGACAAAGATTCTGGAAAACAGATGGAGAAAATCACTCAGAAAAGAGGGATAAAAATATTTAAATTAGTTTTTATCCTTTCTTTCAAGATCAGAAGTGGGTGATTTGAGAATGGATGGAGGTGTGCATGACTGGAAAGTCTTTACACATGCGCACATGTATGTACACTGAAGTCGTAATACAAACATGTATGAAACACGATGACTGGTGTTTCCCTTCTCCCTACACTCGGGAAAAGCTTTTGACCAAGACCGAATGTCCTAAAGTAAAATGCCCTTCATGCTTAACATAGAGTCCCTCCATTCCCATTTTAAATCACTGTGTGCCTGATGCAAACTAGATGGTGTTCTCAGCCTCCAGATGCACTTGAGAGCTAATTTACCATGTGTTTACCTGGGTTTCTAAAAAGCTTGATCTCCTTAACTCTTAAATTCTATAATACTTACCCTTCTGGACAGAAGGTAAAAATTACAATATGAAAGTACTACCAAGGAAGAGTCCATGGAAAACAATGGTTTCCCCAAACTTCTTGCGGCCCAGCATCATAACCATCCAGGCGGCTCTCCTGTGCTTGCTGAGATCCAGGTGAAGAGTTTCACAGCACAGGTCTGAGCAGGAGAGAGGGGAGTTTGTCTGGTGTTTGGAAACTATGTTGCAGTCACAGGTCAGTCATGTAGTCAGCTATACTATGACCTTGACTGGGATGTTTCCATTCTTTGAGCCAAAAAATTCATACTCGGATGAAAATGATAATGTAAGAATAATAGCTAACATTCACTGAGTGTCTTCTTGACCTTAACAGCATGCCAGCCATTCTATATTCTATTTAATCTCCATCTGAAGCCCATGAAGTCATTATTGTACTCATCCAATTATAGAGGAAGGAATGAAGTTTGAGAAGTTTAAGATCCTTACCAAAGTCACAGAGGGAGGTACAAAGCTGGGCCTCCTCGTGACTGCACAACTGAGTTTTCCTCCCCCGACTCAGTGCTCATCTAGAAAGTCAACCTGCAAATTCCAGGCATCATCACGGATGTGCTGAGCAGGGCACGGGTGCCAAAACAGGAAGCCTGCAGATGACTCTCCACACAGACTGAAAGATTAGGCAAACTTTGTCAGTCTTAATTTCATTATGTGCAGAAAGTTTAAGATATCTATGTCATAATCTAAAGGTTTAAATGACAAAACTGGTGAATGCCAAGCTTATAATGTTTTGTTGTATTTATTTCCTTTTACAGTCTAAATTCCAAGGGTACATTGTGGTATATTTCTATAGGCAGCATGTAACCAGAATTGGAGGACAGAAGGTAATGGCAGGCAACGGCCCCTCTCACCAGCCCTTCTGTGCTCACACATGGCTCTCTGGTCCTCCTAGGGCCTTGCTTTACCACTGGACAAGACTTCATAACTTCCTAAGGAAGAAATGCTGTGAAAGAAACATATTTGAGGGCCTAGCATCAGCTCCAGGACCATGGTCTAGAAAATGGGATCATGAGGGAAGGAGAAAATACCTTCATCATCAACGAACTATGAATTTGGGGTTAATCAGAAGTCAAAGGGGAACAGACAAAGATGGAGGGGTTAACCAGTGCCTGTGGAAACAACATTATGGAAATGGAGGAGGCAAAATTCTGGAGAGAAGTTTAAGGACGAATTTTCACTGGTGGGGAATTCTGTGTTGGGAAGGGCTGGAGGACTTTGAAAAATAAAGACATCTAACAAGTCAAGGTAATGGAGTAGGCCAACCATTTTCTTTTGTCTCTTTTCCAATGTATCCTGCTTAGATCGCGATACAAAAGTTTAAAGAGGAACAAAATGTCTCAACAACTTTTCGAAAGGAGAGAATTAAGAGAGGGTCCAGACCTTCCAGTGTCAGCCTCAGCTGAGAGCCGAAGATTCAAGAGGAGACAGCCTGTGACCAATGAGGACGAGTGACATGCTGTGGGTGGGCGTCTCAGAGGGATCTGCAGGAAAGCTCTCTAGAAAACACCTCCCTCATCCCCTCTGCTTACCCAGGGGGCTCGGCCAGCTTCTGCAGCCTCACCTTCTTTATCCACCACCTGCCTGTGTGGCTGCTTCCAGCTGTGCGGACCGCAGGAGCAGGAGGAGCTCTGTTTGCCAAACCTGGCACGAGGTTCCCTGAAGAGCTAGACGACCCATAAGACACACAGATCCCACGCTAGCGCTGCTGAGTATGCAGCTCAGACACAGGCCTTGAAATCTCTTCTTGGTTTATTTATTCTGGCTTCAGGTTTATTCCACACAGCATGGTGCCTCCAATGTGACTGTTGTAGCTGATCCCATCCACCCCCCAGCCGCCTCTCTGATGGAAATCAGTTGTGGACTCACCCCGCGTCAGTACACTGGGCAGATGTCATCTAGAGGCCCCCGTCCCTCATTCTGTGAGTCCTCAGAGGGCGATCCCAAGAGGCACGGGTAGGCAACCACAGGGTTACTGAATGTCCTCATTGGCAGTGCCCCACAGAAGTGTCTCTTCACAAACTGCTCCCCAGCAGCCTGGAGCACTGCAGGACTGCACAGCCTTCGTGGCATGAACATCGGGGTGCTCTTGCCACCAGCTCTCAGCCCTTAGGTACGTAGGTACCCTCCTGGAAGAAGGATTTTGCTAACGCAGCCCAGTTCTTCTTGAGCATCAGCACTGCAGAAGCTGCAGGGTCCTAGGCCAAAGCCAGAAGCAAGATCTCTGCTTTAACAAAACCTCAGATGCTTCTGTGGATCAGGCATGCTCAACTATTCAGACAAAAAGGAGAGAGTCCTAATCTGTTTTTATTTAATTTTTAAATTTTCATTAGAACATGTTTGTAGCACATAATAATGATCACATTCACCACGGGAAGTCGATACACATGAAAAACAAAGCTTAATTCCTTGCACATCCCTTCCCTCTCTTCTTTCCTCCTCCATCTCTTGGTCCTCTTCCCATTTGCAAAAGATCTGACTCCCTATTCTTAGAGTCAGAAAACCGACCTCCTCATTGCAGATACCTAGAGGTATAGTTCAGTTCTAGATGTCCCCCAAACCCTCATGTGGTCATAGGATTGATCTAGAGGGTGTGAAGTTGGAATTAATTCATGGTGCAGTGCTGGGCTCAGGGGTACTAGGATTAAGGGTGTGAGTGCTGCCAGCCCTAAGTAGCCTGAATAAGATAAAGGGGTAGAGCAATGCTCTTGACTTCTCTCTTGTTTCCTTTGCTGTCTTGTGTGTGCCATGTTGTCCTGCTCTCCCATGCCTGTTTCTCATCCCTGCCTTGGAGTTGGCTGATTATGAACTGAAATCTCTGTGAACTGCAAGCTCAATAAGCCCCTTCCTTTATTACAGTGGGTGTTGGGTTTTTTGTCTCAGTACTGAGAGAGAAAAGTAACTAACACACCTAGTTACTATGTTTTTAAATCTCTATATGCAAGTTTTTTAAATCTCAAAAATAGAAATGTAGTCTCTCTACTAGTATCTACAGGAAAATCATAATCCCCCCTTATCATCAAGGTTGATAGTTCAGTAAGTAATGGTGATAAATATGGTAAATGTTTGTACAAAGTTTATAAAATGCTTTCATTCTTATCCTCACCTTCTTTCCATCATTTGGATAACAGGCTGACTCAGTTCCTACTGTAGGCAGGCCCTGATTCTCTCTGTTTCCTTTACCCTTTATATCATTGCTGTACCTCTCTTCTTAAGACTTTATCAGCTCTTTAGCTTAGTGTTAAATAAAATGCATTCTTCAGACATACTAGTTTGTCCATGAAGATGGTCATGGTACGGTTCAGACAGGGAAGAAAGGCATGAGCAATTTCTACATTAAAACAAGATTAAAATTTCCTCTCCCCTTTCCCAGGCTTCCCTCCAGGCGGACAATACCCTGTCCAAGAGTGAAACACTTCACTGCATCGTAGATTGCAGCAAAACTCCAGGCTGGTGAATGTGGTGCAGAAGGAAAGCAGCACCAACGACCCACCTCACTGTGTTGGCCCACAGCACAGTTAACGCCGTTAGCTACACAGCCAATAGTTAGCAACAAGTTAACCTGGCTTCAATATGTGGCACCTTAAGCTAAGATAAAAACCTCCACCACCTTTAATCAGCAAACAGCAGCCATTCAAAGCTGAGTCTGAGCTTAGTTTGGAAGAGGATCTTAATTAAAGAGAAATGTCTGACGCGGACCCAGGGGGAGGGTGCGGTTGGCAGTGCCAGGCATTTTCCCCGTCTGGAGTGCAATGATGGTGGTGCTAGGTAAGAAAAGGCAGGTAGCTTAGGAGCCAGCAGGTCTCAAGCATTGCCATGGTTCTGACTTACTACACTTGTGACTTTGATCAGAAAGCTGCATCTTCCACTTCTATAATGAGGGCTTGGTGCTATTGCACCTTGTGAATGAATGAATGAATGAATGGTAGGTATTCAAAACTCGTTGCAGATGATGTAAACAAGATCGGCATTTCACTTATGTTTTAGTTGTCACTAGTGATTATTTTAAATCAAACTCTAAGACCATGTCATGGATTTAAGGACATAGACACTGGATGTTAAGCATGCTCCGGTTTTAACTCTGTGCCACAGTATCCATCCCTGTTAACTGGATTCCGTACTTCCCCAGGCAATATTGTTTATGCTGCCTCATTTAGGAATGATGCAGAGCTTTTTTCAGTCCATCATGCAAAACTTTCATCTGATGTCTCTCTCTCTTGCATAGTATGCTGCATTTTCTGTTACTACTTAGGAAAACAAGTCAAAATATAATTGTTCCATAACAGAGAAAAATCTTTAATCACCTTTAGTGTTTTTAAGTTAATTGTCTTTGAACTTTGAAAATTTTATCTTTATTTTTATTTGATCATTGGACTACATCTGACTGATGCCTGCTCTGCATTTCTGTCTCGTAATAGACTCAGTGTGCTGCTCCTGGGGGAGGTAGGCTTCCCCAGACAGTCCCAGGGAGGCCTCTCTCCAGGATGGTGAAGTAGTATTGAATCGTAAATCCTAGACATAAATACAAAAGGCTACCATCAGTGACAAAAATTAAGCATCTTTGAAATCACGTATTTTTTTTTTTACCTCTGAGTTTACTCATTTCAGTCCAACCCATCTGCCCTGTGATTATAGCCATAAAGTCACTTAGCCTTCTTATTTCTCAGCTTCCTAACTCTACTGGAGTCTCTAAAGAAGGGTCAAGAATCAGCTCCCAAAACGTGGATATCGCTATTCTACATAAAGACCCCCTGATGGTGATCCATTTTGCATTTACTTACAGCCATCTATTCCTTCCTCATCTAATGGGATGAAAATCAATACCTATCCTTGGGCCCAGGATAGAGAGAATAATTGTTACAACAATCTCCTTGTGTAAAAGCTCCTGCAGAAATTGACATTAAATATATACCCAATGTGTGGCTGCTGTTCTGCAGGGACTGTAACTCACTCTTGAGTCAATTAGGATGGGGCCAGGAGGAAAAGGGGTCACCTTAAATCACTTAGCTACAGGTTCTAACTGGTGTAAAGAGCACTAAATTCCCCCAGAACAAGGGAGTGTTTCCAACAGGCAGGAAAGTGAGAGTTAACACCCGTCTCTTTCCACCCAACTTGAAGAGGCTACACATTAAGACATCCATTTAGTACCTTCTTACTCTCCTTTGAATTTGTGTCCTTGATCATTTATTATGCATTATTCCTGGACTGGATGGTAATGTCACCGGGGGTCCTCCATGGCATGCCATATCAGTGTAAACTCTGTCTGCTTTCCAGAGTTCCTTAATGCCTGGCAGAAACTCCTCAGATGCAATTCTCCCTTTCAAGATGGGCCCCCATGTGTGTAGCATTAATTTCTCTGGCTGCATGTAATTCAGTCAGGGACTCACACCAGCTGAGAACCACATATGGGAGTCCAGATTTGCAGGGCTTTCTTATGTTGTGCCTTGCCAGCCCAGAGGAAGCAATTTTCTGTTTGAGTTTTGAGTGTTTGCCCTCATTGTGTAGCCGGCTGGAGATGGTTGATTAAGAAGCCGCTTTGAAGAAGGGGCCCACTGAGCCACAGGCTGACCTATCAGTGGGACACCGCTCCGTGGCCCCTGCATGGACACTTCTGGTCACACAGACTTCAACAGCCATTTATGCATCTGTCACGAGGGGCCCAGTGTCCTGTCTGAGTCTGACTTTTCCCTTCCTTAAGAGCTTGCCTTTTCCCCAGTTTTCGCAGTTCTTCGTTCTAACTGTATAGCCTCAGCAAATAATTTTCTCTTTTTAAGCTTCAACTTTTAAAAATCCGTATATGAAAAGGTTGGATTAAATGAGGAGCTTTACATTTCGCAGATTTAAAAATTTCAAATAGAATTCAAGACAACACTCTGCCTCGTGAAACACAGTGACCTGTGTATAGTCCTGCATGGATAGTAGAAAAGGGCCCACAGGACTAAATGAGACCCCGCAGCTGGGGCTGGACAACACTTGCATTGAATTTCCTCCTATTTGTGGCATCTAAATAATCTGTGTTCATCTCTCCTCAGAACCTTGACATTCTTCTCATCAGCATTATCCACAGCCAGGAGAAGAAAAGATGAGGATTGTTTTCAAAGGCTCTGGGCAGCATCTGGAACAGAGTATCCTGAAGAACCTCCAAACAGAAGGAGATTTTGCAATTAGGAGTACAAGGTACACAGCTCCATACAGACTTTGTGATTCTGCAACTCAAATCTGGGCTTTCTTTCTGTCCTATATCGTTACCCAGGCCACTATGAAAGTCCTACTTCTTCTCGGTTCTAAGCACTTAGCTCTTTCCTTCCCCTCCAAGTTAGGATACCAGCCCACAGGATGATTTGGAAGATGATACAGTTTGTCTTGGAGTTAGAATAGGAGCATCCCCTTGCATCGAAGAGGTTTGCATTCATCATTTATCATGAGTGTGCAGGAGCTAAAACACTGATGCACAAAGCTGTGGTGTCCCTGGTCTAAAATTAAGAAGCTAATTGAGCCAGTGTGACTGAGGAGAGCAGCATGGGTAAGGGGTACAGTTAAAGAAATAATAAGCTAGGGAGGTGCTTGAGAAGTAGAACATGGCCATCGAATTGCGGCAGGGTGGAAGGAGTCACCGTAAATCAAGCGCTCTGCATCAAGTGAAATGGGGACAACCGAAGCACAAGCTCCCAGCTTCACAAAAGGCCAGGCTGGCTTCAGCTTAGCCAGGGAAGAGCGGTGAGTCCAGACTCGCCCTATTTTGCTCAGGATTCTAATTGAGACCCACATCCTAGCTCCAAAGCCACTTTTACTTTACAGACCTCATGTAGGTTAAAATAATTCATTAGACTTCTGTTAGTCGTTGACCTACAAATGCATTTCCATGGTAATTGTTCCTGGTCCACTTAACTTAGTCATTTGGTTGTGTCTCTGTGCTGCAGAACACTGCACCCACTGGGTTATGACTTTTACCATCTTCTAAGATAAAACACCTTTCACTGTATAGTTGAGATGTATAAATACCACCTACTTCAATGGCACAGTTGACATGCAGTGAGGTGCATGGATCAACAATGAAGTCACTGCAATAGTCAGGATGGTGAACACACTATCACCTCCTCAGCTGTCCTTCTGGTCCTTGGCCCCTTTCCCTGCTGTCCTTTCCTGACCCCTCTCTCCTAGGAATCCTGATCTTCTTCCTGTCACCAGGAGTTTGTATTTTCTACATGTTCATATCTGTGGCTTCATCATGTATGGGTTTTTTTGTTTGGATCCTTTTAGTACAATGATTTTGAGATTTAGCCATGCTTCTGAATGGATTAATATTTCCTTTTTATTAATGAGTAATATTTTATTGCATAGCTATTCATTGCAATTTTCTTATCCCTGAGGACCATTTGGGTTGTTTTCAGTTTTAAGCCAGTTTGAGTTTAAAGCTGAACGGAGTATTTGCATAAAAATATACGTTTCCTATTCACTTGAGTAAATATCTAGGACTACATATATATTCAAGTTTTTAGAAATTTCTAGTCTACTTCCCAAACTACTAATATAATTTTACATTCCTAGAAGCAACTTTTATTTATAGGACAACTTTCATTTCCCTATATCTTCACCAGCAACTGATATCTTTACTATCATTTTCACCAAAAAAGAAAACAAAATGCTTAGAGAAGTCATCCATTCACTGGTTGAATGCCCACTCTAAGATAAGCACAGTGGTTGGCCAATGTGATTTCTTATGACAAAACCATAAAAATGGAGATTCCACTCAAAATTGGAAAAGCAAGTGTGCCTGCTGTGATCATGGGGGGGGCACTACAGTGAAACTGGGAGCAGGATCTGGGCTCTTCCTCTTGGAATCATTTGTCTGTGATGCCTGCAACCTTCAGGGTAGCCATGACAGTGGGATAAGGTCAGTCCCTTTAAGTGGAGAATCGAGATTCAGTTGGAATCCACAGTGAGGGCATACCTATGCTTTGAAGCTTACGATAGGCTTGTGAGACAAGGACTCTGTTGGACTGTTCCTGCGGATGGGAAACAGAGGATTAGGGAGATTGAAGGACTGGCCCGCAGTGTCATACAGCTAGTGAGATGGGCAGGTAAAAAGTAATCCAGTGAGTGCTTCTCAGGTTCTTTTCTGAGTTACAGACTTGGGATTCGTTTACAATTCACATTTGCTGTATTTTTCTGTGGATTCAGCTGCTTCATTTTCCCGTGTGTAGGACACACCTGATAAAGCCCGAAGCAGCTACAAATCATCTGCTGTGTGCCTCCTGAACTTGATGCCACGTGGAACATGAAGTTGCTTCCTGTATGGCAGATTCCACCTCCTTCAGAGAAGTGGAAAATGACAGAGATTTTTGTCCAGGACTCTGTGCTGCCACAGAATGACATAGGAACTGGTCTTGGTGGGAGCCTCTGGAGAAAATATTTCTCCCTAATAAAAAGAGGCACAAGAGGAGATGACTCTGGAATTTGCTGGATATTGTAACTTTCGTGAGCAACATCTGTGACCACCAACCACATGACTGTCATTGTCTGCTGGATGGGGGACACAGAGAAATCAGGCACGCTGCAGAATACCACTGAGCCTCTGAGCCCACTGACCTTAAAGCTACCGCAACAGATTCATGACAGCCCAACAGCCATTTTCCTTACCATTTAACGCACTTTGAGTTTGACTTTCTGTTCCATGTGCTAAAAATTTTAATTGATTCAACTTAGAAACTATGAGCCAGGCATCAAACTAAGTACTTTCAAATAAGTGATCTCACTTAATCTGTAAGACAAGGTCATGGGATAATTATTGCTATGCTCATTTTGGAGATAAGGAAACTGAAACTCAGAGAGCTTGATGACCTTCCCAACTTTAAGCAGATAACAAGTGGGAAGAGTCAAACCAAAGAGAGTTTAACTCCAAAGTCCATGCACTTTTATTACACTGTGACAAGTTACTGGGGAGACTGTGGTATAAATGCAAATTTAATTAGAAGATACATTCACTTAATTAATTATGAAGACAGCAACATGCTGGCTATTTTATTAAGGTGACAGAGTTCAAATATATGCATATATATGTTTGATCACAGCAATCTTAAAAAATGCAGATAATCACGTCCTTTCAGTTACATTTTTAAAACTATATCTTAAGGGCCCACTACATGTGAGGCACAAAGTTAGGTTCTGTGAGGTACAAAAAGTAAGATACAAGGAAGACATAATAATCCTTGCCCACAGCACTGAGTTGGAGAAATAAATATCCAATGTGTGGCAGATGCCTGCAGAGCAGTAGTGAATCAGTTTTAAAGAGTGCTCTGTGTTCCTTTGTGTTCACGTTGTGTTAGAGCTCAGAAACACATTTATCTTATCGACACCTGGGGCAGGATGACGAACTTGGGACCCGGAGCTGTCTCCGCATTTGGGAAGGAGGACAACTGAGCAGAAGAAGCGGGAGCCTGGATGAATTCACCAGGATGGACCCCAGGTGCTGGCCAGCATCATTCTTGATGGCACCGTGCACCCTCCCAGGGGGCCTTACCTGGGAGTTCTGGGGTGGACAGAATGGGCACAGCAAGCTGTGCCATCCAGGAGCTGGATGGAAACTTTGTGAGGACGGCTGTTCTCTGTGAAGTGCATAGGGAAGAACTCAGCAGGTGGTAACCCAATTCTTCCCCATATAGCAGGTTGTTGGTGGAAAATAACAAAACAAATAAATTTAAAAAGGAAATTTTCAAACCAAACCAACCAGTTCCAAACAGTGATGTGTATCAGACCGCAGAATACTCTCCCCGGATGGAAGTTGTAAAAATCCTCCCCACCTGAGTCATTTAAAGTAGCCTGGTTAAAATAATTGGAAAACTGCTCCAGGGGACAATCCATTAGAGGCCAGGGTCTCAGAGATGGATTGATGGGTCCCATAGAGTTCTACTTCCCAGAGCAACACTTTCTGGGCAATTTAGGTGTCTGTTGTTGCCTTCTTTAAAAAACAAGAAATTATTGGTTTTGTTTTCTTGTAGGCACTGTCAAGCACTAGCTGAGTATTAATACAAAAAGTGCTTTCAAGAGTGAAAATAGATCTCTTTAGGGTCAGATTGGTGCAGTCTGCAATGATCTCTGTCACCTGCTCCTGGCCTTTCTTTTGGGAAAGGGCTCAGACCTCAGCCCACAGAGTAACCATGCCAGCCCAGGTGGAGAACTCATCACCAGCTAAGGCACAGGTCCGTCACTCCTTGGACACAGCTCTTCACACAGTTTGAAGAAAAGTGTGTGTAGTGGGGCGGGGAGCAGATGGCTCTTTTCTAAGGCTCAGGTGCTTTGGAGCAACGCCCACTGTCGTCCTCCCAAAAACCAACTCCCAGTGCATCCTTCTCAAGGATAAGATTCACATCCAGGAGCAGGGCCAGGCAAGCAATCTGGAGCCTCCTGGGGAAGCCCGTGGGGGTCTGTCCACCACCACAGAGTCCCTCCGACAGCCAGCCTGGCTGCTGAGAATCTGAGCAGAAGCAAACAGGCAGGCCTGAGGAAATGTCCCCCAAAGCGACTTGAGTTTTCACTGGAAGTGCTTTAGTTACTTGCTGTTCACAGACATCTGACCCTTTCCAGCTTCCTGTTGTTCCCTCTTGTACTTTTGCCTTCCACTCAGCTCAGGCCCTGTGCCAAATACTGCTAAATACTGAGTGCAGAGAAGGTGCTGTGGTCTGAAGCCTGTATCTTCCACAAATGCATAGGGTCAGGCATCAGAAAGGAGTTCATGTCCTTATGACAGAAACCACAGGGCCAGCGATTTAGCTCAGTGGTGCGGCTGCCTGCCTCACAAGCACAAGGTCCCAAGCTTGATCCCTGGTACCCAAAGAAAGAACCCACAGAGAGTTTTGCTGCCCCTCCTATGAAGTGAGAAAGCCAGGAATAGGCGTGTGGGAGAGTAATGAGGACTCAGCAGACACTGCTCCTGCCCGGCCCTTGACCATGGACCACACAGCCTCAGAGCTATGAGCGATGTATAGTCGCTTATACGTCCCTCAGTGTCTGACATGTTTGTTGTAGCAGCTGATAGGGAGTGGGGTACACAGCCAAAGCACCTGCTCTGTACACAGGAAATCTCCCTTCTACTGCTGTGCTTTCCAGGAGTTTTTCTGTTGGTTCATGTAACATTTGGCAGCTGAATAGTCTGGGAGTGGTGAGGAGCTTCTGTCACATCAAACTATAAAAAAATGCAGTTTTTTTTCCTAGCTATATATTTCTCCTCCCCCGGGAATTTTTCTCTCTCATCCCAAATCAAGATGGCGAAGACTTTTTCTTTGCTGGTAATTTTTAAATTACATTTTCAATTTCATTGACTGATATTGAGCTATTTAGAAATGTTATAGCTTCTTGATTCAGCTTTGGTAATTCATATGCATCTAGGAATCGATCCATTTCTTGTGTTTTTCATCTTATTAGAGGACAGGTTCTCAAAGTAGATATTGATGATCTTCTGGATTTTTACAGGATCTGATATGATTTACTCTTTTCATTCTTAACTGCATGAATTTGAGTCTTTTCTTTCCTTTTTGTGATAAGGTTGGCTAAGGGTTCATCAATTTTATTTAATCTTCTAAAGAACCAGCTCTTCAGTTCATTGACTCTTTGTATTGTTTTCTTTGCCTCAATTGCCTTAATTTCTGCTTTGATCTTTTTAATTTCCTCTCTTGTACAAGCTTTGGGCTTGACTTGTTCATTTTCTAGATGTTTCAGGTTCCACATTAGATTGTTTGTTTGATTTGTTCTGTTTTCCTGATGTGAGAATTCACCACTATAAATGTTTCTCTTAGCACTGCTTTCGTTGCATCCCGTAGGCTCCAGTGTGTTGTACTGACATTAGCATTAAATTGTATGTACTGTTTAATTTCTTCTTTAATTTCATCTGTGATCCATTGATTTTTTCAGGAGGGCGTTATTTAATTTCAGTGTGTTCATGCAGTTTTGTGGTTTCCTTTGCTGTTGATTTCTAATCTTGTTGCACTATGGTCAGATAATATAGGATGATTTCAATTCCTTTGCATTTACCTAAGCATGTTCTATGAGCTAGTATGTAGTCTACTTTGGTCTGTCCTATATGCAGCTGAGAAGAATGTGTATTCTGCTGTTATGGGGTGAAATAATCAGTACACATCCACTAAGTCCATTTGTTCATAGGTTTGGTTCAGTTCTGATATTTCTTTGTTGATTTTTGTCTAGTTGATCTGTCTATCTATAACAATCTGGTATTGAGTTTCCCCTATTACAATTTTGTATTCATGCTTATTTGATTTTTTTATGTCCATTAAGGTTTATTTTACATCCTTGGTTAGACTAGTATTTGTTATTTTTCCTCTTTGATTGTTCCTTTTACAAGGATGTAGTGGCTTTGTTTGTCTTTCTTAATGAGTTTTGTCTTGAAAGCACACTTCTCAGATGAAGAAGTCGAAATGGCAAATAAATACGTGAAAAAATGTGCAACATCATTGGTCATTTAAGAGATGCAAATTAGAACAATTCTGAGAGTCCATCTCACTCAGGAAAGAAGGTCTATTATCAAGAAATCAACCAACAACAAATACTAGCAGGACTGTTGGGAAAAAGGAACCCTTTTCTACTGTTGGTGGGAGTGCAGACTGGTGCAATAATTGTGGAAATTTCTCAAAAAACTAAGATTAAAGGTCTCACTTGGCCCAGCTATTTCCCTTCTGGGTATCTTTCCCAAATAATTAAAAGCATCATACCACAGCGATATACATGCACCCATGTTTATAATGGCACAGTTTGTAACAGCTAAATCTTGAAAGCAACCTAAATGCCCATCAACCGATAAAATGGATAAAAAGATGTGTTTTTTTAAATATAATTGAGTACTATTCAGCCAGTAAAGAAGGACAAATTTCAGACATTTCTAGGTAAATGAATGCACCTTGAGAACATACTCTTTTTTTGTTTGTTTGTTTGTTTGTTTTGTTGGTACCAGGGATTGAACTTGGGTCCTTCTGCTTGCAAAGCTGGCCACTGAACCGCTGAGCTAAATCCCCGGCCTGAGAACATACTCTTAAATGAAATAAATGAAACACACATGTGTAAACATCTCATTGCTTTCTGGTGTGAGGAAACTCAAAGTGTAAATAAGGAACAAAAAGAATAATAGATATTGTGAAATAGGAAGAAACCATTCAAAATTACACCAAGTATGAGATACTTTGTTAATAATTAAAATGTTTTATGTAAAAAAGGTATAGTATCATTAGGAAATTAGCTGAAAGATGGATTAGAAAATGAAAATGTAGTCTTTTAAGATCATGGTACATAGTATATTTACCACTGTTATTCTCTAGTAGTATTTGTTATGCAAAATTATTTTTATAGAATGATTTTTATATTTTCTTGATTAATATCTACTTGTATTACATTAAAAATTTTTAAAAGATGGCAAAGACCAAGGCAGTGGACAAGAGGCATTCTCCTTCAGCCTCCTTCTGGGAATGGGATGCAGGTCATGCAACCAACAAAACCCTGGGGGTCCCTTCCCATGAGCAAAGAGGAAGGATGGGTGCTGGGGCATTCAGCATCTTTGCCATAGTATAAGTGGAAAAGGTACTAAGTAAGAAAGCAGGAACTTCCTGTTCACTGTGGGATGGACATCTGGTTCCTCAGTTGTCAACAAGTTCCTGTTAAGGTCAGTGTTTTCCCTCCTCGTACTTCGCATCTATCCACTAGGGTCATAATTTTTAAAGAGCAAGTGACTCTCACATGCTCACCTACAATAAGCAGTGCTTTCTTAACTTCTCAAATCTCTTAAGTATTAAAGTAGAACACGAAATGTCGGTGTTTCTTGGTGAGTTGTAAAATGCCCTTCCTTCCTTCAGCTTCCTCTTCCATTAGCAGGTGACCTGGTTGTTTCCGGCAAAAGAGTTACTTTAGAGAATGTTCTTTAAGGAAAATTAAATTAGGATGGTTTGAAAACGATTAAATGGCATTCCCTTTCCTTGCTTACTACAGAAACAAGCAGGTCCTCATGAGGAAGGGGAGAACAAAGAGAACCACAATTAGGGGTAGAGATGAGGCTTCGGATAAGGCACAATGGACAGTCATTGTTGGGTGGAAAGCAGGAGAAATGAAGAGCAAACAAAGCCTCTATTCAAAATATCTAGGAGGATTACTATATTTAAATAAGTATTGACATTTATATCTAACTATTACATATTCCAAATACATCTTTAAAATTTGCATAACTAAAATAGATTATTTCTTCTACTTACTTTTATAACAGCTTTATGGAGTTAACTGGACCTGATTTTGGGTGCTCACCTCTTGGTTTCCAGGTTCTGCTCATCTTGAACAAGGAATTGAACAAGACAAGCAAAAATAGTGCAAGTTTTATTGAAAAGTGAAGGGTAGGGGAGAAATTAACTGTACAAAGTGAACTTTATCCAAGTAAAAGAAGGAAAATATTAAAAACCAAAATTAAACAAAAGTGTACCCTGGGGAATACAGGCAGGCTACTGTGAGGAAAGCACTCTTCATGGTGTCTGCATTCTTCAATCCCTTCTGTGCACCACGGGATCCCTTGGAACTCTACAGGGCCTTGGGAATTATTTGGCACATGTGTCCTGGAATCTGATCATGCTTACTCCGAAAGCCAGCTTTGCCATTCCCCACCTTCCTGCCTCGCAGCTACACAACGTAGTCTAGCTGAAGGCCTAGAGTCCAAGGCAATGGCCTTCATGAGTCCAGCCAGAGGCCTAAAGCCCACCACAGCATCTCATGCTTGTCTGTATTGGGGATCTGCACCTGGAAGGCCCAAAGGCTAGTGGTGGAAGCCAGAAAACCTGCACCAGTGGGGTAAAGGAGTTGTATCACCAGGCTGGGGGATCTACCTTGGAGCCAGGAAGTGATGCTCATGGTGAAGATCAGAGCTCCCATGATGAGAACAGCAGCTATTCCCAATAACAACGAGGCCCCAAGCGCCTCCTCTGACAAAAACAGCCAAGTTCACATCAGGAAAACCATTTGCAGCAAACTTCTAGAAAAATCAACAGCCACAGCCCTCCCCTCCAGTTCTCTTTTTATGCCATTGGCAACAATCCTCAGGTGGGTCTCCCACAATCAGCCTTGCTGATTCAGTTCAGCTGGGCATTCCAAGTTGACCATTAGTTAATCCTCCACAGACATTCTGGGACTGTTGAATTTTTATAAGAATTTAGGACCCAATTTTCAGAGTCTTCAGAAAAGGCAGATGGGACTTATGTTTTTCCTCTTACCAGGACTTATTAAACTTATTAAAATAATATTTCATTGTTTTAAGTATACATGTTTTATATTTCTTTGATTAAATTCTTTCGTGTGGAATTTTTTCTTTGTAATGTCATTGTAAATGAAATTATTTAACATTTCACTTTCAAATTCTTGATTACTAGGGCTTAGAAACAGAGCTGAATTTTGAAAGTTATTGATTTTGTATCCCGCAGCATTCCCAGCATTCTCCTGTTTTATATTTTTACAAGTTTTGTTGTGGATTCCTCTGGATTTACTATATGAATAACCTTCCAACAAAAACGTTTTTTTATTTTTTCTTTTCCATAATTTTCTTTATTTTATTTTTCTTTCATAATTGCCCTGGCTAGAGTCTCCCGTGAAAAGCTGCATAGAAGTGGATACTCTCATCTTATTCTTCATCTTGGGGGAAATGTTTTTAGTTTTCAGCTGTTAAATAGAACATTAAGCATAGGGGCTTAATAGATGGCCTTTGTCAAGTGTAAGAAGTTGTATTTCTGGGCTTTATGCCCTTGTTACTGTGAAAAGTGCACTTAGGAGGAATGGTTTTTCAGTAGTTGGCTGAGGCTAACTATGACTGCCTGTAAGGTGTAATTACTTTATAGTGTTGTGCAAGTTTTAATATTACCTGTTTATCTCTAAACAGTTATTCTGTCCACTATTAAAATTGAAGTATTTAATTTCCCCACTCTTTTGTTACATTAGGTATTTATCTCTTCAGTTTTCTCAGTGTTTGTTTTATGGATTTTTGGGCTCTGTTGACAGCTGCAAATATGTTTATACTAGCCGAGTTCTTTTGTGAATATACCTTGCTGTTTTAAAACTCTATAATTTTTTATCTTGTCTTTTTCCTGATATTAATATAACCGTTCCATCTCTCTTTTATATATGGTTTGAAAACTATGTAATGCTCCATTCTTTCGCCTCTTCATGTCTTTGCAAAGGAGAATCTTAGATTTATTGTGCTGGAGCCAGGGAT